CCTACCAAACAACCCTGATGTAACAAGTCTCGGGCTCCAACCCTCCAAAGGCACGCGTGACTTTCTGCGCATGTATGGATCTGTTGATTCAGAGCGACTGCTCACTTGTGTGCGTTAAACAACGCCGCTCTGCAGCTAAGCCTTGGCAGAACCGTGGCTTTCTCCAGGGTTCTGGCTGAAACGTCCCCCCCAAATTCAAAAATGGCAGTATTTGAAGCAGACCATCACAAATCTCCCGTGAATTTATTTTCATAAGGTTCCCAATGGAAATGGCTGCACATTTACATTGGCTTTTATACGGAGGTTGGTAACAACGTTCATATATGGAAAGCCAAGGAGCAGGGATATCATTAATACCTATATCAATCCAGAGGCTGAAATGCTGGCAGCAAAAGCCCTCTGGGTAATGATATTGATGGCTCCGGTTTCTTCTGGAGGTAAAACTTGTTCTGCCGGAGCTCAACCCGCAGGAACAAAAACCCCTCGGTGAAACGCTCCGCATTCGGAAGATCTTTCCGTCTGTCTCCAGTTATTGTGACAGTGAATATCTGATATGAGTTGCTGGCACGCTCACAAATTAAAAGAGAAACCTAATGATATTGCTTATGTTCACGCTGAGCATTAAAAGGTAATGTCTAAAAGGTTTTATTGTGTTAATAAAACTCAGAGGTGGTCAAGACTTGACGCACACAGGAACAGAATGCAAAATAATCAGTCATAATGTTACGACTTCATTTTTCATTTGTGTTTTCAAGTTTGCCTTGAAAACCAGAGATTGCACTAAAGGAAGAAAGACAATATTATATCAAAGAAAAGGAAAAATTATAAGCATGACTTATCTTTAATGTTTTACATCAAAATGAAATTTCTGTAATATGTGTCATGTGCATAAACAACACAGGCAGCTTTTGTCTTTGTTGAATTTAAATGAAAAGTCCCTCTAGATATTAATATGTGGACTTCATTTGTTAGCCTGCTAAGTCAGGGACTTATAACAAAAGCTTTGTAAACAAAAGATTAAACTGAATCGAGCTTTAGAAAATGAAAGGAAAACAAGAGTCAAATAATCACAGATCAGAGTGGGGCTGCTTAGATTGAAATCACTACAAGCTACTGGAGTGGAAAATGTTTAATTGAACTATTTCATTACGCGGGAAGTTTATGTCCCTCTTGTAGAATCCAAAATATTTGTATCAGAAAATCCATTCTCCTTCTTTAAAATACTCCCTTGCAAGTATCAAATGCGATCTTAAAAATTGTCGATTAACTTAATGGCGAAGAATTAATGTGGGAAATGGGTCAAATTTAAAAATGAAGGCTGCTTGATTTAGTAGCTGGACATACCTGCCAAAGAAGTTGGGGCACTGGCCGGAGTGCTTACATGGCATTATTTTACAAGTGATAAGCAGTATAAGGCATCACTTAGCATCATCTATTAAATTAGAAAAAACAAATGCTTTTTGACTCTTTACTAACCTTTGGTAACCTTTCAGGATCACCTGGATGTCGTGGAATAACTTTCTGCAACCTCTGAAAGCCATAATCTATGGTTGGTTCATTAAGTG